CTTAACTTGTTTTTAAATTGCATGATAATACGATTAAGTTAAAACCACTACCAATATGCACGACGGTTCAGTTAAATATCCCTGGTGGACCAGCGGTACGTTTTCGGCCTTAATCGCAATGCTAGAATCCATGGTTTGATTCCCCGCTGTGGACAAAACCCAGGTAGATGTTGCTGTAGTATTCGAATTCTCTTTAGACGAAATGGTGAGCTTCTTATCAGCGAGTATAGTTCTAGATATTTCTGTGTACATTTTAATTATTATGGTATCCTCTCTAAAACGTTTAGTCTTATCTTAGCTGAGAGACAGCCAAATTGTGATTTGACGAAGATGTTTCGTCTCTTAATTCACAAACGCAAAGGATCCACAAAACATAATAGATGTCTAACTTTGTGCTAGTGTTGAGTCATTTAGTGTAAGGAGAGCAGTCTTAGGAACTGTACATTAGATATCGTTGAAAAAATAATATACGTGGCTATATTGGTAATAAATTAATAAGCCAGAATAAAACAGTAACAGGTAACACACATTTGGCAACAAAGCCTCGATGTTAAAGTCACTAAAAATAAATTTTATCTAATTTTTGCTTGATAATTGACGGATTCATCGGAACTGCCTCGCTGAATGTCACTTATACAACCCAGATCTTTGTTTTTGTTTGTTTGTTGAATTTCGCGCAAATATCTCCGATAGCTATCTGCGCTAGCCATCCCTACTTTGGAAGTGATCGACTAGAGTCAACACCACCCACCGCCAACTTTTGGTCTACTCTTAACCACCAGATCATGTCAGGCCTCAACCCGCATTCTAAACCAAAACTAAGAAATTTACTCTCAAAGCCAGGTGTTTGTATTGATAAATATAAAAAACCTCATAAGCCATGCTTAATAAAGTTTCTCATTACATTATAATACGTACAGAATATAAAGAAACATAACAATTTCTATATTTGAAACCATCCTGATTTTAGCCATATTATTTCAATTAAGTTATATTATATTAATCTTTAAAATATTTTCCATCATTCATACATGTGACATCCAGAAGAGATATGAAAAGAATCAGTTTTACTTCAAATAAAAAAGTGGGCATCACTCTCTGTTTTGAAATATATGTTTTAGATTCGGGAACTTTCGACAGGTAAAGTTATGTACTTGAATCTTTTCCTTCAAGAAATCTCAACGTTTTTATATCTCAATAAGTTTGTCCATCGCGTGAATCCTATTGAAATCTCAGTAAATAACAACTTAATTTTAGAGACTAATGAATATGATTTTCTTTCCAGGAAGGCAACGAGAGAGTATCAGGACAGTTGGAACAGGAGGTGTAGGTTATTGTTCTGCTGCATGGGACGGACAGACAGACATCAGGTGAGACAGAACTTTGTTTACTATTTCTTTTCTCTATACACAAGTTATATGCTAACGTTTTTGTATTTTAGGAATGTTGAGATTAAGAGATAGGTAAAATCCCACAACATACAATTAACATGTGTATATTTCCACATGAAATGTACCAAGTTTGAGACTACTCCCCTACCACAAAACTTAAAACTTAATGAAAAGAAGACTAATATGAAAAAATGTGAAAAACACTTTAGAAAAAAGTTTATGTATTTAACATGGTACTGGTAAGAATGCTACTGTTTATGTTTCTATCGTAGATTATATAAAAACAGTTTCTTTAACAATTTTATGTATTTAACATGGTACTGTAAAGAATGCTACTGTTTATGTTTCTATCACAGATTACGTAAAACACTTTGTTTAAAGTGTGTATATTTCACAATAAACATGTTGGGTACAGTGCACAGGTTCTATTTATATACTAACATTTTCTTTATCCTGTGCTTGTGTCGAAATAAACACTGGTTATATACATATATAATAAACACTTTTAACATGTGCATGTTTCACAATAAACATTTTGTATATAGTGCACAGGTTATATATATATATATAACAAACACTTTTTAACGTGTGCATGTTTCACAATAAACATGTTGTATATAGTGCACAGGTTATATACATATATAACAAACACTTTTTAATGTGTAGATGATTGTGAAACATCTACACATTAAAAAGTGTTTGTTATATATGTATATAACCTGTGCACTATATACAACATGTTTATTGTGAAACATGCACACGTTAAAAAGTGTTTATTATATATGTATATAACCTGGGCACTATATACAACATGTTTATTGTGAAATCGAAGACTGGTTCAAATTTTGTGTAATGATAACTAATTCTCTCCCTTTCACAAAACAAATTCTTATTTACTCGCTTTTATAGATAATTGCGGTTGAATCTACTTTGATAATCTTACTCAGTCTCAGTACATTGACAGATGAAGTACAAGAATGGAGTTATAAATAGACTTTCTTTCTTTCTTCCATTACTAGAAGAAGTATATTTTGGAAACAAAGTTTATCCCTGACTTTTTAAACCGAATACAGAGGAATTTATAAAACATCTCAATAAACACTTAATGTTACACAGAGTGCTTTCTAAGTCATTTATTCTTTATTTATTTGTGTTATGTGTTGTATTTATATAGTATTTATGGGTTGCTTAATGTAGGCTTCACATGTTTGGTATTAGAAGAGCTGTACTGTCTATAGGTACAGGAAATGTGAAGCCATGTTAAAGCAGTAACTGTTTTCAAGATTTGAAACAAGAACGTTAATTTATAATTTCATTGTAAAATGATTTATTACCAAGACGCCATGTTTTTTTAGCGTAAAGCGATGTTCGATGGAAACCACATTACGTTTATTGTGAAACATGCACATGTTAAAAAGTGTTTATTATATACGTATACAACCTCTGCACTATACCCAAAATGTTTATTGTGAAATATGCACACGTTAAAAAGTGTTTATTATATATGTATATAACCTGGGCACTATACACCAAATGTTTGTGATATTGTTTATAGTTCCCAGGTTACAAAACTTATATTAACACAAACAAGTATTTGCAGCTGTTTGTAATTTGTTCTAAAAAATCCAGCTTCGTGAAATGGTGAGCCTTCAAAAGGTTTATGATCCCATCAAATATAGAACTGAATGCAGTATTGATTGAAAAACATGCTCCTCAATTCAATATTTCCTTCACCAGGAACAAAAACAACAAATAGCTTGGATTTTACTTCCTACCACAACGTGATTATACACTGTGTTCTTTTCATTTGTTTTCAATTTATCTCTGCGGACTTACAACGCTAGAAACCTGGTTTCGATACCCGTGGTAGCCCATTCTGTAGCTTTGTGCTTAACTTCAAACAAACAATCAAATATTGTGTTAATTTATTTAAAATCTCGTTATTATCATCTATTGCAATTTTGATTAACTCTTAACATTGACACTAAAATGCGCTTGGTATTTTGACGCCTTGGGGACGTGCGTAATGAGAGTGACACTGAAATCCTACTATTTGTTGAAACAAGAGTGCCCAAGAGTTGGCGGTGGGCATACGCGCAAGAAGCAATATGATATTAGTAGTACTATAATCGCATTTGTGTTTCGTGTATGCGTGGTGGGGTGGAAGCTTATTTAATAATTGTATTTTTTTTCGAAAGTGTACTTTATATATTAAGTAACCTTGCGCATTCAGTCACGTTGTTTTTTTACTATAATATAAATTTACAATGTTCTTCAAAGTACTGGAAACAAATTATATGTAAAAGTTCCAACTTTTTGTCGTGCTACATATATATATATATGCAATTAATTATTTGTTGTTGTTTTTCTTTTAGAATTCTTTTGCAGAAATAGCCAAACTTCTGTCTGAGTTTTTCCGGGATCTGGATGTTGTTCCTTCTGACGTTGTGGCAGGACTAGTCCTCTTACGGAAGTACCAGAGGATGGAGAGGCAAGCAATTGTTAAAGAGGCAGGTTTTTTTTTCTCTATCTATGTATTTTATGTGTATATATTTCTATTATAGAACATAAGCCATTATACATTACACATAAGATGTCATCAGAGCAGTATATTATTGAGGGCTTTTTGTTGAAGTACTTTGACTTTACGTACTGTTTCGACTACTCACTTTACATTATACGACATGGTTTCGTTTAACTATTAACTTTATATTATACAGTACAGCTTTGTTAACTGCTTACCTCACATTAAACAGTACAGCTTTGTTAACTGCTTACCTTACATTAGACAGTACAGGTTTGTTAACTGCTTACCTTACATTAAACAGTACAGCTTTGTTAACTGCTTACCTTACATTAAACAGTACAGCTTTGTTAACTGCTCACCTTACATTAGACAGTACAGGTTTG